TAGCATTAGTATGAAACTAATTCTAGCTTTTTTATATATAAAGTGCAACCATGTCTTCAATTTGATAATATGCCAATCAAACTTTCGATTAATTACAGGTAATGTTCAAGTTATTTAAGTTTTCGTAAAACAAAACTAATTCAATTTATTCTCTAGCATCGTCGCTGGAACAGGAAGACACCAATTCGGGCAAACCCAAATAACTAGTAAATCTTTAGGCTCGCTACTGAGTCAACCGAAACGCTTTAAAGTTTCTTTTGATGTATATATGCAACTAATTTCGCAACCAATAATTCCAGCTACATCTTCATCAAATGAACATGGACCATCATCAGCCGCACAAAGGATTCTACAATATCCAGTTTTCATTAGCTTAATTTTGGGCAATTGTCCAAAGGATTGCATTCACGGGTTCTTTAATATTACACCAAATCATGCAATATTCGAGTCTCTAAAGAATTCATTGACGAAGAATCGGCAGCAGATTGCGTATTTCTGTGTTGTCTGATATGAATGAATTGTGTGTTTAATTTAATATTATCTACCTACATAAATCCAATTCAAAATATCTCAAAGATTAATTTGTTTTCTCCAGTTGAAGCAGATTTTAATAACTTTCAGTATGCTCCTCTATCATTTGATAATATGCTTCAATTACGGACTCTTTTCTTAGCATTAGCATAAAAAATCATTTATTTATTAATATTAGAAATTCGTTCTTATTCTTCTTTAGGTGCGTATTACTTTAAAAAAATATTGTTTTTACATTTTAATATTTTAACAATATAATAAATACGCTTTTAATGGTTTAACGTAAATACTTGTAACCTTCACCTCTTCTCCTTCTTTTTAAAATTCAATACATTCATCTTCAGTTGGTTTCACTTAATTTGCTTTAAGAATTGGTGGTAATTTATCTGTTATAAAAATTTATTTGCAAGGAATGCGTTTGGCTTAAATCGCAAAATTCTTGATGCAGTTTCAGATTACACGTTTTCCAAATTACAAATTTTGATTGCTACTTTTCAATAGCGATAGCTTATCCAGAAGAAACATTGGTGTTTCATTATCGTTATTGATTAAAACAATTGAAGGATGACAAGAGGGTATACAGATGCAAAATATGCATGAAAATCTTGAACAATCTACCCCCCGTTAAGCCAAAGTGGTAGAAACTTTAGCGTTAGGTTTATTTAGTAAATTTGTTTATAAGGCAGGTTTGCTATAACTGTACAAAATACAAATTACTAGTATTTAACATAAAAATCTATTAAACTCACAGTTTTGTTAATTTAAACATGAATGCTCTACTAATTTCACTATCAATTCAACGTATCGGTATATTTATTTGTTTTGATTTCTCTTCACTTAGTTGTTGTAGTTTACACAATGTGACATCTAGTTCGACTAAAAAAGAATTGAACAATGTCTTTGCATCTGATTTTAAAATTATTTTTTTCTTTAGGATTTGTAGCATTATATAAAAATCTTTAAACTCAAATTTGGCTCTTTGTTATTAATTAGTGCATTCAACACTAAATAATAAAAATCCTCGTCATTTATGCGATTTGGTTATTAATGCGATCAGATATTTTTTAGGTTTATAAAATTATAAATCAAATGAAATTAATAATGTATATATACCATTAAACATTTTCATTTCAAATTTGATAGTTTCTGTTTCAATTGTTTCGTTCCAAATCTCTTTTGTTACTTCCCTTCGTCATTTAGACAAATGAAAGTTGCTACCACTGTAACTGTATGTGTTTTAGGATTTATGATCAATAAACGGTATATTTATAATATAAATATAGATTATTTTTCTTTTCATAACGATAACAATAATATCGCTCTTGATGCATGTATAATGAAGGATCCGTAAAAATTTTTGAAACAACGTATATCGATATGGTGCAATCGATTAATTTTATTTCATAAATTCAAACTTCTTGACTAAGAAGTAAAAGCTAGAATAGGCTTTTCTTGATATATTCACGGATTAAATTTTGCGTTTACTTTTTATTATCGTTATGCACCACCATACTTACATGTATCGAGATTGATTATCATTATGTACATGTACAATACCCCCAAAAAGTAACGCCCGATTTAAAATTATATAGTAATTAAAACAGTTCTTTAGTATTCATCATTGCATTTGTTTTTATTTGGAACTAGCGCTAGCTGTAATTACAGTCCAACATCCTCAAGTCAAAAGCGTTTTGAATTTAAAAAAATAAACTTGTAATCTAATTAATCACTTCTCGAAATTTGGCTGAATCTTTTTTGAGTTCTCAAAATATATCATTTAACGTATCAACACAGCGCAGCATTGATACGTAATTAATCTGCTTAAGCAGTGTAAACAGAAATTTATTCACAAAAATTATGTGTGTGCAAGAAAAAAATGAAGGATTTCATGCACAAAATTTATATAGTGTGAATTATTTAAAACTATAATAATCAATCATGTGTACATTCTAGAAATTTAATGGTAACTGAATGAAAAAGTGGTATATCAAGTAGAATTAGATGTATTTATTAGTCTTGTGCACGTCTTTTTGTCATATTTGTCATTGCTCTCTTTCAAACGATAGCATTAAGTGTTATATTGGAAATAATCAACTTCCTTTCAAATGAATAATGAATATATTGAGTTCTTTCAATTCCTTTCGGTATTTCATTGTTCTAATAAAACATTATTACCACATTCTTCCGGAAATAGGCACCGATGGTCCGGATTCCAAAAAACGGGGTGCTGCTTATTCTCCTCACGGATTAAAATTATTTTGCCATTTGACAGCTAAGGCGATTTTTCGTATCCCTTGTTAGTATTGTATGAATATATAACTAGCTAATGCTTATGATTCAGATTAATAAGCGGATTTTATATGATTAAATATATTTTTGTAGTTTAAATATAGTGGTGTGGTGCTTATTCGTGGTTTTATGGTGCATAACATCTAAAGTCATCAAACTTTTGTATTTTATAAAATGTATAAACTTTTCAGCTAAGAATTAAATACAAAATTTAATCCGTGAATATGATATGATGGGATAGTCCCTTTCTGAGCATATTCACGGATTAAATTTTGTATTTGCTTCTTAGTTGAGAAGTTTATACATTTTATAAAATGCAAAAGTTTGATGACTTTAGATGTTATGCACCATACTACTTTTTATCAAAATATAAGTGGTACGTACTTATTTCCGAAGAATATGGTATTCAATACGTATGCACAGTTATGCCTAATGTCTTTTATATTTGCGCACATGTACTTGAGACTTCTGATGTACGTAGTTTTATATTTGAATTTTAAACTGATGACTGATCAAATACACAAAGTGCATACATGTATTACAAATAAAACAGGAAATCAACATTCTTTTTCGAGTATGAGAAAAAATCATTTACCAACCAAAATAAAAACATTTTATAAGGTTCAAAAGAAAAAATTTTCGAGAACCCGTATTGTACATGTATGTTATAAAATTGCTAATACATACATGATTTATAAATAATAATCGATACACTAATTATTAACGTTAATACACTTATCGTTATTGTAATAAACACTGATGAACCCCTGTCTCTAACAATACTCCCTTCAATGATCCCCTCAAGTAGTACGCACCATTGAATTGTAACTGTAATCTCACCTTCATTTAAAAATCCAATATATTCATCTTTGATTGGCTCAACCGTTACCTCGATAAGTGATTCCGGTAATATCTGATAACTTGCTTTAAAAATTGGTGTTTTTCGTGTGATAGGATATTCGATGTTGAGTGAAACAGCAGAAGATAGAGAAAGAGATTTGTCAATATTTATTTGGCAAGACCATGGTTGTTCTTCTTTCTTGGATTTAATTTTCAATTCTGTAGACCCAGTTTTAATTTCTTTATCACGAGCTGTTGAGTAAAAATAGCCGATTTCACTTGGACAGCCAATTAGCATCCATTCAAGCTTGTATGGTTTTTGCAAGCTTATAAAATAAAAAAATTAATTATTCTTTTCGCATAAACTAAAAATAAATTTGTAATAACTTCTTACATTCTCAAAAAATTTAAAAAATTTATATCGCCAGCCTGAATCCAATTTACTGAAAATCCGTATTCGGATTTCAGACTAAATTTCACATAAATATTTGTGAATGTTTGGCCACTGGCATTCACAAATTTTCCAAAAATTTGATAATTTCTGCTCTTCAGTTTGTTATTGAATTTTATCCGTTGATATCCAGTGTTAAAATCCAAAATTGTAGTTGTATTGGTCATTAGAAGATAATCTTGTTTACTGAAAAATTTTTCAATTTTTTGTTGTTGATTGATATCAAGAATTTTATATAATGGAGTAACGACGCGCTTGATAATATGCCATTCTGATTCGCATAATGAAACAGTTTCAAGCCATTTCGGAATTTTGCTGAATTAAGAAATAAACTGTCAACCATACCATAGTAGAAATATTAAAACAGAAAATTTATAAACCAAAAACTACTTGATTTCAATTAGGCCACCGTCTATCGTAAACAAATACGAAGAGTCATGTGGTTGAATTTCTTCTTTCCAACGGTTTAAAGTTTCATTACCTTGTAAAAAAAATATATGTTAATTTTTCCGAGTAAATAAATTATAAATATCGTTATTATTTACCTAATTCGTTAAATTCTGGTAAATAAATTAACCTTTTATTTTCTTTGTCAGTATTTTCTCCATTTAAGCGCACTATTCTTTGTAATTTATTACCAATTATTATTTTGGTGGCGAATAAATGTCCAAGCTCATTAAAAACGTGTTTTAAATCTTCGATTGGCGTATTTGACTTCAAAGCTTTTTCGACAGCAGCTTTTAATTTGTCAGTAATTTTAATATTTTGAATATTGTATTCAATCAAAATTTGTTCACTTGCAATCTCACAATAGATATCATTTGTTTCTAAATCGTTTAAAAATGCATTTTCTGAATGTTTTCTGGGATTCATGTTGAATAGCATAAAAAAATTCTTTAAATCTTCGGATGAACTTGCATCAATTTCTATTCCCTCAGAAAGCATAAATGAATCGCATATTTTCGACACATATGAAATCTTCATATTTTGTGATTTCTTGTATTCGATTATTGGCGATGAATATTTATAATCTATCGCAGGATCAATTGATTGTTCAATTGTATATTTATCAATGATTATGCCATTCATCAATTTGAATTTTTCTTCCCATTTTTCTTTTATAAGAGTCAATGGTTGTTTTAGGATTTTAGTATGTTTATCCACTTGAAGCTTTGTAAAATATAAATCATTCTCTTCGATTTTATCGAACTCATTTCCTTCTGGCAACAAAGGATTTAATTTTAATAATTTTTGACTTTTTTGTGATTCTTCGATAGATCTTTGTTGTATTGAAGAATTTTCGTCTTTTTTAAATTCGAGATGCGTTTCAAATATCTGTGTATCGGTATCTTTAACTTTCTCTATACTATCATTATCAGATGTAGGTTGCTTGTCATCCTCTTTAATCTTGTCAAGTTCATTTTCTTCGGGTAAAGAAGAATGTTGTTTTAATAGCGTTTGATTCTTTTGTGATGCTTCATCAATAATAAATTGGTCGATAGTTCTTTGTTGCATTGAAAAAATTTCGTCAAGGTGCGTTTCAAATTTCTGTGTATAATCTTCGACTTTCTCCACATTTTCAATCTTTGCTAACTCGTAGTTCCTCTTTACTCTATCAACAGCAACAGCATAAGGAGCACAAAAATATACGATTTGCATATTTTTCAAACTCGTGTTGAAAAAGCCAACGTCAATAATATACTTAAACTCCGCGTAATCTGGTGTAATATTAAATACCCCATGTGGGCAATATTTTGGACATTTATTCAGGATTAGGTTGACAAAAATAGGGTTCCGCAAACATGATTGTGTCAAATCACGATAGCTGTCAAACAGGATTTTATATCGTTTTGATTTAATACCAGTAATGCAAGATTCACTCGTTATTTGTGCTTGGCCGAATTTATTATTTCGTTGCCCAGAAATTATGCTGAGAATAAAAAGCTGAAATTGTAATTAATCGTTTTAAAGAAAAACATAAGAATATTATTTTACCTGTAACTGATTGAAAATGTTGTGTTTAAATTATCCAATTGATAAAATAGTTCTCCTTGTTAACAGATGCTATACATTATGATAAATACCGAATATCAATAGCAATGGCATATTAATTAAAATACTTACTTTTCTCTAGATCATAGAAAAAAGCACAAGCCTCAATAGCACCATCGTTATAAACAAAATGATATCTTGCAAGATACTTGGATGTCAGTGGATCGGCATTGGTAAAACTGTTAGATCTTGAAACACAAGTAGCTAATAGACTTTCATGCGGATTCAGTTTACGCGAGGTAATAATCGCTGAACAATGTTCATCTTTCACTGTGATTAGTGATTCACCACTTTCAAAAACTAAATTTTGCCCGTCTAAATTCAGTATAGTCGATATTCCAAGTATGCTCAAACCTAATTTTACTGAAAACCTTCGGAATGCTGGTTGCTTTTTTAATTTTCCAAGTCTATATAATAAAATTACTGGCGATTCTTTATCGTTGATATAATGAACTCGAGAAGCAAATATCGTATCCGAGTTGTCATCTTTCATTTCTGTAACAAAAATTTGGCAATCCGATAAATCATATTCTTTCGGAATTTTATATTGATATATAAATGGATCCGGTTTAGAAATGTCCATTACTAACTCTAATTTTACAACTTGAGAATCAATAATTCGTCTTCCCAAAGCCGTTGCTACTTTTGTCCTTCTTTCTTCATCAAGTATGTCAAATATCGAACATATGTCAAAATATTCAGCTACTCTCCAATTTTTATAATTCTTCAATGAATCGAGCCATCCTAAAGGATTTATAAATTAATACCGATTATAAATAGACTTAAACTCTCAAATAATTTCACTAACCGCGCATTCCTTCTACTAGATAACGATTTTCTAAGCCTCCACACATCTGAAAAAATTCATCTCCATCATTAGAATAATTGATTGGATTAATTTTTCCAATTCTAAGATTTGTAATTTTTTTGTTTTGTCCGATAGACAGAATAATGCCACCAATTTCGAAACCTTTACAAAAAAATTGTCCGTATTGTTCAGTAACATTTTCGAGAGATTTGCGTGGATCATTAGATCTAAGAGCTTCATCCACAGCATCTTCAAATTTCTTAGTCGGCTTTATATCTGATTCATTTAATTTTAATATTGCCATTATTCTTCTGTCTTTGCGATAAATCGTTATTTCCTCTTTATCGTTTTTTTGGGATGTTGATTGCATTGAGCCGCCAAGTCTCATCGATACTGGTGAACTTCAATGGAATTGCATGTATTAAATTCAATAAAACTGAAATCAATATACATTAAACTGACTTACAATGGTAACTGTGACGAAGCAAGGTAATTTAGTATACAAAGCTTTTCTTTTGCTTCTTTGCATTCTACTAGCTCACTACATCCAAATGATTGCATTGTCACAGAGTGATACAAAATATCCAAAATTTCAACAGCTTTTTCTTTTCCCTTCGATGGTCCTTTTGATGTAAAATTTAATCCATATTCAAAGTTACAATTTTCATTTATCTTTGCCCAATCAGGTTCTCTTTGAATTTTTAAGCTATTCTTATCGGTGAGAATTTCAAACAGGAACAATTCGGATTCGTGGTCCTGCAGGATTCGAGAAATGTTACACATAAAATTCATATTGTTATTCATTTGGATTTCTCGTTCGTTAGTTAGCATGATACGTATGTCAGATACTTTTGCATCTGGGGGAAGTTTTAGGAGGATAGGAGTTTCGTCATCAACTTGTACGTTAATGGACGTTTTTTCTTCAATATGGATAGGGATATCACCAGAGATCTTTTCATCATCGTCAAGCTTTTTTTGTGTACATGTATCATATAGTTTCGCGTTTGTGGGAGGGATAGAAGTTTCAACTTGTACACTAATAGACGTTCTTTCATTAATATGGGTGTCACCAGAAATCTCATCATCTTCGTCATCACTATGTTTTTGTGTATCTTTGAAAGTAGAAGAGTCTTGTTCCATCTTAATGACCAATACGTATCCAAATTTTATTCATCTACATTTATTTATTTATACATGTACATGTATTCGTAACACCATTTCGACGATCCTCTAATTTTGGTTGGGCCACATTTTAGGTCCAATCGCAATGCAATGTTCTTTTTTTACTCTGGTGCATAACATTTAAAGTCATCAAACATTTGTATTTTATATTTTATAAAATGTATAAACTTTTCAGCTAAGAATTAAATACAAAATTTAATCCGTGAATATGATGGGATAGTCCCTTTCTGAGCATATTCACGGATTAAATTTTGTATTTGCTTCTTAGTTGAGAAGTTTATACATTTTATAAAATGCAAAAGTTTGATGACTTTAGATGTTATGCACCATAACAAATACCCCTTTTTATCCCGCATATTCTCTCATTTCTTGAACATTTTATCTTATATTCTCTTTTAATTATGTCAAGACTTTCTCTCTTAGACGTTTTTATTAATTTGTCTTGCATCTTTTTTTAATTTTACGATCTCCCTCTTAGACAAAAACTCTTAATTTTACCTTAAACAATTATTTTTATCTTATCTATAGTCGTATGAAAAAATAACACTATGTAAACTCAAAAAAAATGTACAGTCAAAGTCCTTTACAACAGCCGCATTGGATTGGCTTTTTTGAGCCGGTATATAGTGCTTATATTATAAACTTCGGTATATAAATAGTTAAAAAGCGTAAAAATCAATACGGTATAAGTCGAATCCGATGTAAACAGCACTGCTGTTGTAAAGGACTTTGACTGTATATAAGAAAGGTCTGTGGGCCTCAATAAAGATCAGAATTGTTGCACATAATAGTTCTCCAAGTAAAATAAGACTTGTAAAATTCCCTTCGTAATAATTGACTGAATTGACGGACGGTTAGGACCTTGATCCAGAAAAGGCATTACATGTATTTAGAAGATCGATAACGGTAAAGACACGTGTAATAGATACCGTATAGCGCTGCCTAAGTACCCCGGTCTTATTTAAAAAGTCCCCCTTGAACTTAAATAGAATTTGTGGAAGTTACTTGAAGTTAGAGGAATGAATGTTGACGCGTCCAAAGCACCTGTTTTTTTGAATAATTGCATTGAATATAGTGAACGGGACAGGTGGCGATGGTATTATGAATTACTTCATTGCAACCTATACTTGTTCTTTTATGTATAGCTAAAATTAATTTGTTACGTGTCACCGGATGGTAGATATTACGTATTATATGAACAGTACATAAAATAACGTCGCAATTTTGTTCTTTATACATAATGCCAGGGAAAGCATTTGCGATGCTGTTAATTTCCACATTACTTTGATCACTGAGCACGTACCGAGGACGCCAACGAGACGTGAACTCTCGAATCACCTTCAATATCTTGATTACTGTATTAATGTCTTCGCTACTTACCAAAAAGTGAGCACCCACATCCCAGCAACCATAATTATCACAAACATACAAAGTAAATAGATGACAGGAGTGTTTGTTAGTGTTGTGAGTGGAGTCCACAAGTGTAAGCCATCCATAATGCCATAGTTTTTCCAATTGCCAAGAACTCGTGAAGCAAAAATCTTTTGATGATTGTTGAGCAACTAATAACTTGAGAGCATTTTGAATATCGAGCTCTAGGTCATGCTCACGGATGAGATAAGCCATTAATGGTCCACGTATCTTTTGCTAAATGTTGGTGACTTCAATTTAGCATAGATTTTGACCAATGATATCTAAATCATTTTTTCCTGCAAGATATTTAACAGTGATTATGATATGGTTGAGTATACAATTTTATTGCTGCATTAGCTAGCATTTGTCTAATGATTTCAGGTCATTTAGTCTTATCATTATCTTTAATCAGATGGCTATGATTAGGAGCATTGTTAAAACATTCAACAAGAATTGTTTGAATTGAAGTGATATATATTATATTTATTCTTGTATCATACTTTCCAGAATTGAGCTTGCTAGCTTTTTTTGCTTCTCAATGGGAATATCTTCTTTACATGTATTCAATTCTTTGTATTTCGCAAAGTGGCAGGCGTAAACAATTCAAAAATCATTATTCTTACATTTCTAACTACTATATCATGTTTACATGTTAGAAATGAGCAACCACAAATTCTCACAGAATTCTTTTTCTGAAATTTCAAATGATTTATCAATATTAAATATACTGAAATGTTTTTACTTATTGCTTGCATATTAGAAAGAAATAGAGCAATGACAAATATATTAAAAGAAATGGTAAATATATAGAGAAATAGTAAAGTATATAGAGAAATGGTGAGTTTATATAAAAAATGATGAGTTTATAGAGAGAAATGGTGAGCATATAGAGAAATATGAGAATATATAAAGAAATAGTGAGTACATATATATATATAAAAAATGGTGAGCACATATAAAAACTTAATTAGCTTGTATTAACATAAAAATCATAATTAGCTTGTATTTAACATAACTAGTTTTCACCCACTTTCCTTCTCTCTTCGGAAAAAGACAATGTCACCTTGAAATACAATGTTTACAATAATATTTATAGAAATTTATTTTATTTTGCATGTGACACTACATGTAAATCTGAATCAAATCAATTCAGATCGACTTAATCCGGATTGCATTATCCCGCTTTAGTGTTTCATCTTTATTGATTGATTTAGAAGATCCGGTGTGCGATCAACCAATCAGCAATGGAAATTACTTGTATCCAATCAAAACTTGGGGGATAAATTAGTAAATGCGAAGATACTGTAGATAGCACGAAGTTAATAAAGTAAACAACGTGAAATACTGTTACAGTTGTAACATAAAAATCGTTAATTCCAAAAATAGTCGAAAAACATAAAATATTTAAAAATATTCAT